CGTTCGTGAACCGAATTGTTCGTGAACAGAAGCGTTCGTGAACCGAACCACTGTACTCCTCTGCTTTCCTTTGGAAAGTTCCAAGAGCTGATCACATCGAAGGGAATAATTATTGACTTGTATTCTGTTCACATAGTCTTTCAGCATGATCTTGGTATAGAGTTTCTTTGCCTTTTTAAGTATATGTTAAACTGCTGAAATTTCAAGCATAAGTGTTTGAGTTCATTGTGGGTTATGCTGAACTCTTTTCCTTCCTAGATAATGACAGAAGAATGTACAGGGTTAATTATTGGTATGATGCTTATTTGCTTGATACCAATATTCACTGAAAAGAAAGTTATTTTCTTAGTGCACAACTTTTATATATGATGTCTTCTGCTGTTTTTCCATTTTCACACAAATAGGCAATATACGTCTCACAGGCAACCCTGTTCCCTAAGCCTTCTTTGTCATCTACTGATTTAGAATGGTGCAACTAAGAGAACTACTATATTGCCTTTAGTTTGATTACCTCATTGGAATGAATCCTGAATATTTAACCAAGTGTCTGGAACAGTTAGGGTTGAAGTGATAAATCTTTTACACTATACTTCATGTTACTGGAACTTAAAAATGGCACTGATTAATATATCCATGCAGAGTTCTTGCCTCTCTACGCATGATAAGTCTTTCAAAGAGTAACAAACAAATACTTCCTTCTCTTTCAAGTCTGTGCGGAAGCCTTCAACCCAGACGAAGAGGACGAAGATACAGAACCAAGGGTAAGCAAGATTGTACTATATTGTTTGCTGATGTGAAGAGCAGTTTTATTTATTTTCTCCTATTCCTTGTGTGAAGTTACAAAATAAAGTAGCAGCACTTGTTCTTTGGGGTAACTTTTGAATGAATAGAAAAAGATTTTCACAGTTGTTCCTGAAGGCTTTCCAATTGTGTACGTTTGAGGTAAATAAAAATAATTAATAAAACGATTGAGGGCCAGATTTTTTGTTTCTTGCTTCTCAGGCCTTCTTTACTAAAGCAATGTGAAAACTGTTCCCTGTTACAGTTAGAACATTTTCAGAATGATATCCCTAAATATTTTCAGAATTATACCCCTAAACAAGCTTAGCCTAAAAATGTATTGATGTCTAGATGTTTAAATTTCTTTGTGTTTTCTTTTTAGGTAGTTCATCCAAAAACAGATGAGCAGAGATGCAGATTGCAGGAAGCCTGTAAAGATATTCTCCTCTTCAAAAACCTAGATCAGGTAATTAGTTTGACCTATTTTTACTGTTTTAATTTGACCTTTCATCTTAAGGTTTCATAACTTAAAATATATAAGTACAGAAGCATGTTGATTTGTTACATGTGTGGACATAGCAATGTGAATGAAATTGAGTTACTTATTTAGTTATTTCAAAATATTCCTATTTTAGAATATTTAATTTGTAACAATATATTCTTGTACTAGTCTGTCAGTACAAGAAGGAATAGAATTTAATATTTAACTTTAATACGTTAGATGTATATTAAATGAAAAGTCAGATTTGTAAAGAATTTTAGCTTATTCAGGAATGAGCTGCTGATATGATTCAATCTTTCATGTGTTCACTGTTACCTGGAACCAGGAATCTGGCTTGTTTCTCTTCAGACAAGCCAGAATTATTAGTTGCAGTTTGTTCTTAGCTTCTGGCTCAGTTGTTCAGAGCTTCTAGGCTGACATGTAAATTTGAGCAATGATGGATTTGCATCTGGGTTTCCTAGGTATATCTGCTGGTAGCCAAAACCAAGGAAAAGTGATCAAGCAGTCTGTGTTAACATGCTGCTCACTGACAAATGAACTCAAATTCTTTACAATACTAACTTGTGTGTGAATACTGTCATTCTTTCTATCATAATCTTTTAATAATTAGTTTACAATTGTTATCCTTATATTGCATTATAGAGACTGATTTGAGTATGTGAAATGCTTGTCTAAAGGCACCTAATTAATTGATGACCCAAACCAGATTAAAAATAAATAAACAAGCACCTTGTGAGTTCTAGGCCTCTTTTCTTTAGTTTTATACACAAATAATGTATGTGAGCATGAAACTGAGCAAACTCAGGGAGGCAGTGAAGGACAGGAAGGTCTGGCGTGATATGGTTCATGGGATCACGAAGAGTCTGACACAACTGAACAACAACAAAAATGTAGTATGTGATGACTGGCAGTAAACCTTGAATATTCTTTGGCCTTGCCAATTGTAGGTATTTATAAGATATGTGCAAGTTGACTCACAGAACCTGCTCTACTAATCCCAAGGTTCTTGGTGAGTAGTCTTAGTATTTCTTAAAGAAGCAGTGAAAAAAGTATTTTTTTAAAGTATACTTCACTACGTTTGCACTAATTTATTTGTGTAACTGTATTCAAATTGACATCCAGAAGGATAAAGTACATCTGCAGTATCAAGTATAGGTTAAGAATGTGCAGGTTACAGATGACCCATACTTAAGAACGGAGCCTGTTGTAGCTAAATTCAAGTTAAATACACAATGATTCAAGTTCATTACACAATACTACTTATACAGTATTATACAAT